ACACACACACACACACACACACACACACACACACACACACACACACATTTAGAGTCAAACAGACCATACAGCAGGGTCTGCTTTAGGGGCGGGGCTACACAGTGATTGACAGGTCTCATATACGGCGTCTGTACGTCACTCCTCTGCAGTGTAACTGTAACTGTAACTTCTGTTCATTGGTCTCTGTGCAGAAGTCATGACCTGGTTACTGAAGAGGATCCACAGATGTTGTTGTGAGCAGGTTCATGTAGAACTACGGTTGAAGGAAATGTGCAGCATTACCAGAGAGTCTTGTATCCTTTTGAGGTCTCATGGAAATCCAAACACAACTATTATATTATATATATATTATATTAAGAGCAGCGGACTTTCAGACGACCAACCAGACCAAACCGCCCCAGAGAGGAGAGAGAGGAGAGCCGAGATAGAAGATAAGCTAACCCAGCTAGGACCTGAAGCTACTCCACTACCCAGCATGCTCCTTGGCTGTCTGATGGTCGGTCTCAATAAAATAAGATGGATGAAAGCAGCGGGAGGTCGGTGACTGTTGAGCCCACATCTTCACAGAGATCAAGCTGGACTCTGGTGCACCAGAGGAGCTGGATGTTTACTGTGAAGACGTCGGCCATGTTATCTGCCCAGAGAATAGTTTTTGTCGCTGCTGTTTACATTCATTAAGATGCAAATAAAAAGAGATGCAGTCCAGGAGTGTTGTTGTGTTACATGGTGGCTCCCTATGTTACATAAAGACAATAACTGATCCTTGAATCCTTTAGATTATCTTTGCTTCTGACTTCTTTGGAGCAAACTTCTGGGGATTCATTAAAGGAATTTCAACCTCAACATTCAACCACATGACTCTTTTATATTTATTTCTGACCGTGTGATTGTTTGGTAAACCGGTGAGCATGCAGCGCGGCGGTTGGGTTCCCTGAGCTCACCTCAAACAGACAGTGGATGGGCGTGGCAGCGCTCTGAGACAGCAGACTCATCCTCTCTTTGAACAGCGCCTTGTCATTCAGCTCACCCGAGCCCTGAGGGGAACACAGACGAGGACCGTGAGCAGACGTCCCGGGACGACCGGAATAAAAACAGTCCTGCTGCTGGGTGAATGACTCACGGAGCGCGTGTCCTGCAGCTTCCCCAGGTTGATGTACTCCACCGCAGCCTCGAAGGTGCTCAGACAGTAGCTGAGCTCATCTTTACTGGAGTGGCTGAAGCAGAAGTTCCTGATGTAGCTCAGGTTGGCCATCCTGAGGACACACGACGACATAACTCAGTGACTAATAAACCACACAGCTGGAAGACATTTCCTCCAGCTAACGATAAAACAAAAGACCAGATTCGAGTTCTGTGGAGTACAATGACCAACCGGTGGTTAAATGGTAACATTCAACGTGCGGATTAACTGGATTGTCTCGTTTTCTTTGAAGCTTTGGTGAAAGTAAAGCATTTTTGCAGAGTTATTGCTCAGTATTCGTTGTGTCTGTCTGAGTGACATGATGTCTTTAAGCCACTGAGGAGAGACAGAAATATAAATCACTCTCAACTAGTGCTGTTGACCGATTGGATCTTCTATTTCGTGGCCATATATTGCGCCATTAATTAGGCCAACAAGTGTTTCTTTACTGAGCCTAACTTCTCATCTTTCTCTACCGAGTCATCATGAGTAACGTTAGGCTGAGCGACTTTTTACTTCTTCTTCTTCTTCTTCTGACGTCTGTTCACGAACAACGTAACATCTTGTTCATGAATACACAGCAGCCCGAAGTCAAAGCCTCACAGGACGCACATATTAAATGCATTTGATTCATTTGGGTAAGCAAGCATCATATTGATGAAACTCTTTACGACTTTTTCCACACTCACCAGTTGGGGATTTCCGTCTTCACCAGCAGGTAGAGGATGACGGAGAGCAGGTCGTCTGCAGACACGGCCTCTATACTCACTGCAGAGACACACACAGTCAGGGTTTTAAGTAATTAGGATACAGGGGGAATTATTAGCAGGAGAACAATTTGAAAATAAAATCTTAAATAAAGACCGATACTCTACAAAGTCTCACAGAATGGCCTAAAAAAAGCTTTCACTCTGTAGAAAGTTCCACAACATCACCGCACAGTGCAAGTTATAGCAAAGCAGGACGGTTTGCACACAAACACAAACACACGAGGTCCTGACACACACGCTCCGTTGGTCCAAACCAAATGACTAAATTGGTCGCTTGACAAACATGAATTAGGAGCGGACCGTACCACACAGCGGGGGTTGTTGTTGTGGCCAACAGGCTTAGATTTCCAAAGCAAACAGGACAAACCCATTAGAGGGCGTCAGAGGGAGGGATTGTCCCGACAGCTGATCTGATTACAGACAGTTAGAGGAACGCTCGGAGACCACGGAGAGTTCAGGCCTCTGGACTGGATCGGCGCTGACTCGAGACTTTATCTACGCACCGTGTCGTGGTGCTCCTGATGTCTGATAAACATGATCAACAATAAGAGGAAACAAACTTTTGTTTCCTCATGGTAACGGATCGATTATCTCCAGATAACAGAAATATTTAAACTTGTGATTTGAAATGTAAGTTTCCGTATAAAACTACAAATTTAACGCTTTTCTTTTCTTTAAAATGACCGCAGAGTTCATCATTTCCCTACTTACTGTTATCAACATATGAATGTGAATCATATTGTGACTGATAAGAGTTAAAACACACACACACACACACACACACACACACACACACACACACACACACACACACACACACACCGGTGCCTCGGGGGGTCTGGGTGGCGGTCAGGGCGACTCTGCGGAGGCAGAGCAGCTTGAGGAGGGGGGAGGTCTGCTGGTTGAGCTGACTCAGCTCTCTCTTTGCCAGAGACAAGTTCATACTGCAGGAACACGACGACAGCAGCAAAAAAATACAAAAACACATTTAAAGTGTGAGGCGAGACACTACAGGGAAAAAACATAGTTTTTCATGTACAGGTCAACATAAACATTTTGCCTCTAAAGCACCCCTGCTTTATGGTCTGTGTGACTCTAAATGGACCATAATGTACTAAATGAACATCATGCTGTATTGAAGAAGACTTGAAACTAGAGATTGAGACCATAAACTGATGTTTACAATGTTTACTGAGGTAATAAATCAAGAGAGAAGTAGAGTCATTTTCTCATAGACTTTTATACAACCAGAGGAGTCGCCCCCTGCTGGACACTAGAGAGAATGCAGCTTTAAGACTCTCAGCCGAACGTAAAAACACAGCTGAGCTGACCTGAACTCAGGCTTCACTCCCAGCTCGCTCTGCTGCAGCTCCTGCAGACTCCTGGCGGTTTTGTTGAAGGCAGCGTCCTGTTGACGTGACGGACACATTTCATCAGCACTCATCAAGTCCATCAACAGTCCGGTCCCACTGCATCTCTGACTCATTAAAGGGACGTTTCCGTAGTAGTAGTAAATCATTGTCTTTTGATTTTAGAGACAGAATTTAGTTATTGAGGCTTTCGGGGGGGTCTGAAGAGTCAATACATAGATTTTTTTGTTTATTTGAAACATGCTGCATTAAATACAGGAAAACAGGAATTATCACATAAGAAAGAACCTAATCACAATATTTTTTATTTATCCTTTATTTATGAATGGACACTAGAAATTACTTTATTTTAGATTCGTTTGTTTTTCACTAAAAAAAGAAGAAATTAATATTTGTTTCTCAATGAAGGTAAAGTGATCGCTGTACTTTTTAAGCCATTTTGAAGAGTTGTGATCATATTTTCGATGATTATCGGGATAATATTGTGAATCGAAATTATTTTTTCCAGGATAATCGTGACATTAAATTTGAATATAATCCTCTATCAGCAGAAAGTGTCCACAGTGGCACTAAAGGGCATCAAGATAAACCACAACACTGTTTCCAGAAACTAAAGTTGCTTAAGAGTTTAAAAAATAAAGAAGAAGTATTTTTTCAAAAGGTTGGAGCACCACAAATAAAACTAAATATTTCCATCACAGTTCAGACATACCTGGCTGGCTTCAAGCGTTCCCACAAAGTTAAACATTAAATCATGGATACCATGGTGAACGTACATCTGGAAAGAGAAGAAAGACTTTGTAAGTGAACAGCTGTGGGTCGGTTTTAACACAACAGTGAGTCAGAAACCGAAACGTAGTGATGAGGAAGTGGCCTCAATGAAGCCGTGTTTGAACATCGTCTACTTTACTTTATACTTGTTTAAAATACGTGAAATCAAAAGCTGAGTTGAGCTCAAGTTTCTGCTCCGGAAACAAACTTTAACTTTAGCTTTAATCCACGAACGCGTGCGAGTGTCTTCACTGAAACTAGAGAAGTTGGTGGTGATGTTACCTCCACCGCCTGTTTGAGGAGAGTCATCTGAAGCTCCTGCTTCGCCAGAAGTTTCTGTTGGAGGAATACAAACACATTTATCAGAGCAGAAATCAGGATCAGGATGTGATGCAGAAAACTGAGTTCAGGGAGGGACACGGATCTCCGTCATGAAGCTTCACACAACGTTCCCAGTGAATTTCTGAGGTAACCGGCTCAGGCACAGCTTGTGTTTTTCACTTTCCACACATTCAGAAACTTTTCCGTCTGTCGCCTTTGGAGGAAGACACAGTCCAGCAGAGGGCGCTAACACGTCACTTATGGAAGCCGACCGCCGTAAAAACCCAACAGAAGAAGAAGAACAAAAATGGGGCGGGTGCGGGGCTGCGGTCGAAAAGTGAAAAAATGACCCAACGTCGGTTCCTAACGTCGGTTCCTAACCACTTTCCCTTGACCTCCAAGGAAAGATGTGGAGGAGAGTTCATGAGGAGTGAGGAAACGACAACCGAGGAGCTCAGAGGATCCGACTACACTTTCACTAAACTACGTCATTGTGATGCAACGGAGGATGTCACTGACTGCCAATGAAACTACAACGAAGAAGGACTACAAACAGAAAGAGCACCTGAAACATGTCACCATGAAATATGTTACTTGTTAGCATGCAGGCTTTGTAAAGAGCTCCTTCTGTGAAGGAGAGAAACCGGAGCTGCTGTCACGCTGAACATCCAACATGCTTCACTAGAAACAATTCACTCGTTTAACATCAATGTAACCGTTCAATGTCTATTATTGAGAACGAGAATTAGTTCATTGACAGTTTGTTATATTTACTGTTTTTTTAAATACATACAAAACTAAAATAAATGGTCGTCACTGTCTGTTCATATCCATCAACATGAATATGAGTAGAATTGTTAAACTTGTGTAAGGTAAGCATGTCGTTTGTTGTCATGGACGGTCGAATGGACGGAATGATCTCCGTTCCTTTGGTGACGGATGGTCCCGTGTCTCCTATGCTAAAGGACCTAGGAAAGGAAGCATTGAAGCACCTTTCCTTAACATTTAGAGAATTTCGACCGCAGCCTGGACGAGCATTTAAGCAGCGGAAGATGTCTTTTTTTTAATGTTCAGCAACGTGACGGGTGAGGAGCTGTTTTTGAAGTCACCAATGTTCTTGTAATGTATTTCTACGACATTCAGAGCAAGAATACAGCAGCGAATAACTACTTGCTATGTAAAGACGTAGTGGAGTGATGTCGCTTCTGTCGCCATACACCGACCGACGGCGTCATCGTGGACCTGTAGCGGTCGAGCGACCATTTAATAACGTCCGTTTATTGGTCCAGGCTGTCAACGGGGACAGACAGTGGAGCTAAAGGACAGATCCACAGTGTTTCTAAGCGGGTGGGACGAGCTTCTGCTTGCTGTAATCATTCCTCCTGCTCACACAGTGAACAGTTGTGCTAATTAATGCTCTGAATATAGAGTTCAACACCTTTAATTTCTCCCTTCATGCGACATGTTAACCGGAGATTAAACGCCACCTGAACACAACATGCCCGGCTGGTCCTGACATTTACAGAAGTTGACAAGCGTCACCTGAACGCTTCATTCAGGACTTTCTGGTTCACGCTGGCTTGACCGCTGATATTTAAGTTTCTTCTTGACCTCTTTTCAACCGACGTGGACAGAAAGTCCTGAACGCGCTGAGGACGATCACGTGATGCTATCGAAAGCTACGGAGCAGCGACCGAGTGGAGCTCGTGGGAGGAATGTTTTTGTTGAAATAAATGGGAACCGGTACAAGAGGACAAGAAGAGTCCTCACTGAACTTTCATGTCACATTCAGTACAGAGCTTCCCCGAGAATCACTTCCCTATAACCTCCATCAGTCAGAGCGGCGGGTCAGGTCGTACTCACCAGACGAGAGTCTCTCAGCAGACACTGAAGACATTTAGTGTAAAGACCGTTCACCGAGTCCTGAGAGGAGACAGGACGGCAGTCAGGAACACTCCAATCTCATCAAAGGTTTTTAATTACTGTTAAAACAAATGTATCATGATGCAGCGTCTGTGTGTACGACCACAAAAGCTGTATTTGATAAAAAAAAACATCAAATTATAAATAAATAAATATTATATTAGATGGAATAAAAAGATGAAGGAATGAAGCAGAAGGGACAAACACAGGAAGAGGAAGAGGTGAGGAAAGGAAAGGAAGTGGCAGAAGGAAAGAGGACAGAGTCAAAGACGACAGGAGAAGAAAAAGGTGACGAAGAGGAAGGACAGTGTTTTGTTCCTACTATGTGGTGTCGGAGTCCCTTCCTCTCCTGCTCCCTGAAGGCCTGACAGAAGCCCTGGATGAATTTGTCCAGTTTCTGTCCGTGGCGTCCCAGGAACTCCCGGACGTCCTCCAGGTTCTTCAGGCAGTAAGGGGCCAGCGGGCCGAGCTCGGCCGGGCTCGGGTCCACCTCCACGGGCCGCGAGATGCACAGGATGCTGTAGCTCTGCTCCCGGTCGTTGTAGAAGGTTTCCTCAAACAGGATGGGGACCGACGAGGGAGCCGGGAAGCCGGACCCCAGCAGGACCCGCCTGTCCTGGATCCGGACCTCCTGAAACACGCAGCAAAGAAAAACAACACCTCTGGTAAGTAGGTACGCAGTGGTTATTACCAAGTCAGGGTTATTAATTCTATGTTTACTAAGGATGATCAGATGTTAAAAGATCCAAACCAACAGCGTGTTAGTCCGTCTCTCTGAACCGGGGGTTCTTATACAGAGAAGAGAGGAGCCAGCGCCACATCTTTAAGAGCCCTCATAGTCACATTTTAAACACCACAAACATAGAAATGATGATGAAGCTTCATAATAACTCATAATAATAAATAAGCTTCTTAGTATTTAGTTATTCTAGCTGTTTGCTTCTGTCGATTAGATTTCTGATACACCGCGATAGATTTTTCTTTTGTTAATGTTTGTTTAGTTTAATGATGTTGTTGTTTAGTATATATGGTTGTTTAGTTTGTTTGTTTATGAATTGGCTGACACTGAGGACACATGTGGTTACATGTATGAGTCAGCTGGATGTCATGGGACGTGCTCATAATCAGGAAAAATATTGAATATCGACAGCCCGTCAGCTTATGCTTCTTAAAGCTTTTGGAGAAGCCAATTGCTTCAAAAGCATTTTGTTATAGAAAAGTCACATGATTCTGGAGCAGAAAACAAGAGTATGATTATTTTAATTCAGACTTTAAAAATAGTTTTCAACCTAATAGAAACTGGACTTTTGAGCATAAAACTCCACTCGATGACAGGATGTAGAAACCAGGAGACAACCTCCGGTTCTATAAAATGAAGTCAAAGCTTTGTGTGTTAAAGCTGCATTCTCTCTAGTGTCCACCAGGGGGCGACTCCTCTGGTTGTATAGAGGTCTATGAGAAAATGACTCTACTTCTCTCTTGATTTATTACCTCAGTAAACATTGTAAACATGAGTTTATGGTCTCAATCTCTAGTTTCAAGTCTTCTTCAATACAGCATGATGTTCATTTAGTACATTATGGTCCATTTAGAGTCAAACAGACCATAAAGCAGGGGATGCTTTAGGGCGGGGCTACACAGTGATTGACAGGTCTCTACCAGAGACGTATACGCCATCTCTACGTCACTCCTCAGTCCAGATGAAGTCACTTCCTTTCACAGGTTGCATAAAAAAAACAACATGGCGACGGCCGTAATCCAAGATGGCGGAGTCACGATGACTACGTCCACCACTTGTATACAGTCTATGGTAGAAACCTTTTCTTTACGAGACTAACAGCAGGTTTCATCACAGGTTAAGTACATAAAGTACAGACGTTTGTCCGTATTTCTTTAAGTTTGAAGTGCCTCTGATGGAGCTGATGCGTATGACGTGAAGCGGGACAAACCTTTCCGTCCACAGTCTGGTATCCGTCCTCCGCCGGCTGCAGGACATAGCTGTCGAACTGAGAGTCTGAGTAGCTGCTATCGGTCAAACTTCCACAACAAGGCACCAGAACCTACAGACAGAAAACACTTCACTGACCGCTCGACACAGATTTAAACAAGACCTCTCTGAACCAAATACAATCTTCCTGATTTGTTGCAGCACAGTTCACGACTTTTAGTTCACTCCGAGCTGCAAATTCTTTTTGGCTGGAAGTTTTGGGATTTAGTCCAGACGAGGAACGAGGAGATGATCGGATATAGAAGCTGCAGAGGAAACTGACTGGACCTGAAGCTAGCAGGCAGAAAGGAGGAGAAACACTAAATAATTAAGTGTTTTTGAAATGTCCAAAGAATTAATGTAATTCACTGAAGTGTTTTCTAAATAAACGGAAAGAGTCCGTCTGTCGATTTTCATGACAACTTCATGTTCAATCGACTTCAAACTCACTCAAGGACTCAAGGAAGTGTAGCGCCGAGTGCGAGTGCTTGAGATCTACGGGACATATTTATTAGTATTGAGAGGGGACCCTATTAACTGTTACACCACAGAACGGCATGCTGGGTACAGCTCGCTCTCCGTCGCTCGCTACAATACTAACTGTTACAACGCAGAATGGCATGCTGGGTACAGGCTGATATGCGACCACAGTTTCACATAATTGAAACAAAAATGTAGTTTTTTGGGGGGTGGTTTGAGTTCATACACTTGAAACTGGAAAACAATGGACATTCTATTTGGAGGGGGTCATTTAAGGATCTAGGAACATGATCAGACCGCCGTCCTGCATCAGTGGGTGTTCAGGGGCCACTAGGAGTGGCCTAGTCAAAGTCCCGACCTGAATCCGATTGAGATGCTGTGGCATGACCTCAAAAAGGCGGTTCATGCTCGAAAACCCTCCAATGTGGCTGAATTACAACAATTCTGCAAAGATGAGTGGGCCAAAATTCCTCTACAGCGCTGTAAAAGACTCATTGCCAGTTATCGCAAACGCTTGATTGCAGTTGTTGCTGCTAAGGGCGGCCCAACCAGTTATTAGGTTTAGGGGGCAATCACTTTTTCACACAGGGCCATGTAGGTTTGGATTTTTTTTCCCCTTAATAATAAAAACCTTCATTTAAAAACTGCATTTTGTGTTTACTTGTGTTATCTTTGTCTAATATTTAAATTTGTTTGATGATCTGAAACATTTAAGTGTGACAAACATGCAAAAAAATAAGAAATCAGGAAGGGGGCAAACACTTTTCACACAACTGTATATATTTAATCACACCTGCGTTGTCTCAGGTTCTGTTGTTCTGTCTCTCTGCAGCGTTCCCTCTTTCATTTCAGCTCGTTTAAATCACTGCTGGTGAAGCTTTCGGCTCATCTTTGTGGCTGTTTTTCTGTTGTTCGGAGGCCCCCCCCACTCAAGTCCCAGAGACCCCGACTGCTGCTGGAAATCCCACCCAACCAGGAAATGTGTCACCCCAAACCCACGTTCATTAAAGTTCATAGTAGACAGAAACGACACAAAAAGAAGACAACCGCTGACATCAGATAGCGAGCGGGTTTCCTCAATTCTGGGAAGCCAGGTCTATAAAAAAAATGAAGTCTGGATGGATGATACAATTGTAAAACACAGAAAAAGAGATTAAAACAGATTTCCCTCCACCACTTTGTAAACTCTTCTCAGGAATGCTCCTCCAGCAGAGAAAGCACCCCCTGTCCTTCTGTTGTCCCGACTCCTTGAGACAAACAAACACAAGAGGTAAGTAGAGCGACTCACGATGCCGTGGAGCTCCGCCACTCGGCTGCAGAGGTCCGGTCTCTGCTTCTCCAGCGCCAAGTAGAAATGGTTCTTCAGGATGTTCTCATCATAAACAGCCATAAGGAGCCGCAGGTCTGGATCCTGGAGAGGAGCGCAGGAAGGTTCTGATCAACGCGATCAAACGAAGCTTCAAAGAGAAACTGCTGAGACGTTTAACCCTCTGAACAACCAAAACCCTCGATGGAAAAGCATGTTTTCTTTAAACAATCGCCAAAACTACTCCGTTTATCAGCAGAAGCTGGAAAAACTGTCATAATCGTCAGATGTTTATCTTTCTGACGATGAATGATTTGTGACGAACGCTTCCGTCAGAAAAAAAAACTAAACTTCAAATTCAGATATTTCATCAAAAACATTATATAATATAAAGTCTCTCCTCTAACAAAGCGTTCACTTTAAACAGTGTGTAAAAACATTAAACTGTGAAACTATGAAGTCATGATTGATTCATCTGAGAACAGTCATGTGACTACAAGGAGGAGAAACTCTGACTGAACTACAGGAAGTGAACACAGAGCAGAGAGGAGAGGAGGAGAAGAGAGAGCAAAGAGAGGAGAGAGCAGAGAGGAGAGAGGAGGGGAGAGGAGAGAAGAGAGGAGAGGAGAGGAGAGAGAGCAAAGAGGAGAGAGGAGGGGAGAGGAGAGAGGAGAAGAGAGAGCAGAGAGGAGAGAGGAGGGGAGAGGAGAGAAGAGGGGAGAGGAGAGGGGAGAGGAGAGAAGAGGGAAGAGGAGAGGGGAGAGGAGAGGAGAAGAGAGAGCAAAGAGGAGAGAGGAGGGGAGAGGGGAGAGAAGAGGAGGGGAGAGGAGAGGAGAGGGGAGGGGAGAAGGGAGAGAAGAGGAGGGGAGAGGAGAGGAGAGGAGAGGGGAGAGAAGAGGAGGGGAGAGAAGAGGAGGGGAGAAGAGAGAGCAAAGAGAGGAGAGAGCAGAGAGGAGAGGAGAAGAGAAGAGAGGAGAGAGAAGAGAGGAGAGAGGCTGGAAACATGGAAATAGTTTAATATTTAATAATAATGAGGAGTCTCCTTATTTTTCCAACATTGATAACACTTGTGGACACTTGGAAAAATGTTTGATGTATTTGCCAATTTTTGTAAAATAAATGATGAAAGAAATTTAACTTGCTTTTTCTTCTTTTTTTATGATTAATGTCATCATAACTGTGTTATTCCCCCTTTGCAAAGCCAATCGGAGCAGATTGGGTTTCTTCTTCTTTTTAAAGGGAGGGGTCTTAAAGAGACAGAGAGCGAATACAACTATATCCAGAGAGACAGTATGAGAAATATTAAGTGTTTTTTGAACATTGATACGTGTTCTAGTAGAAACACAAAACCCAAACATGAACCTGAAAATGATTATATGTCCCCTTTAAGATTTAGTTTTCTATACAAAACTCATTCAGCTGATTTGTGTGAAAGCTTTAATGCTTTAAAAACAGCTCTTAATTCATCTCTAAATGATTCTTCATCACCTTGTGTTCAATCCGTTTTTAAGGCTTTAACTAAAGTTACAGACCGTTTTTAAAATCGTTTTTTATATTTCCCTGATGCAAAAACACATTGTATTATATCTTAACTGATATTACTCCAATGATGACATAAATTCATGTCATAATAACCATTTTATGTTTAAAGTCAAGTGTTTAAAATGGCAATCCTTAAACATTTTAGTCCTTAGTTCTTTTAGAATTTATATTTGAATGAAAACAGTGTAATATCAGTCTGCAGTGTTACACACCAACATGCTATGTTTCATTCTACCACAGACACCCAGGTCATAGTACTGCAAATATATCAATATAGTAATACTTTGATCAGAGGGCCAGAGGCTCAAATATGGTTTATTATCTTGTTACATTTGTTCGTTTTTAAGAGAAGATGAATATTAATCAATTTTATCTATTTTGGGTTAATTAATGAATGATGTCGATGAATCGATTTGTTAGGAAATAACCGAAAGATAAATAATTGTTAAACAATAAAACAAGACTCAGAGTCTACAGCCGGACCGGCGGCTCTGCGAGGCAGCGTTTTGACGTATCGATGGCAATAAAATACAACGTTAATCTCCAAAGTTATTACTAAATTCATCCAGAAGGGATTACGATTACGTCTGAAGCAAATGTCACGGCAGTCCATCAAATAGCTGAGGAGACATTCTGCCGCTGCAGTAGAAAAACTAAGTCCGGAGGATTCATCTTCAGGGGACCACGAATGTCTGAACCCAAACTGAATGTAACCCGTCGAACAGCTGAGATGCTTCAGTCTGGTGGGCCGACTGACGGACATCAACTACTCCAACTATGAATACGTATTAATACATAAACGTACGGCAGCGACTTCTGAGCTTCCGATCAAAAACTCGTGTAACTCCTGAAGTTACAGAAGATCAACGGATCATAGTGTTCACGAGTTCAAGTCTTCACAGTTTTCTGCCGATTGAAGTCATTGAAGTCATCGGAGGATCAAAGAGAACGTCTAAACGGCATCAGCTTTTGGTTGCCTTGTATTTGGAGTAATAAGATACTATGCAGTTATACGTCGGCTCAAGATTTAGTTTGGTCAAATCTTTGCACAATTGTTTCGTTTGTTAATTTAATATTATTCTATTTTATTGTATATATTGTGCATTTTTATATTTCATATTTTTTACTGTTATTTTTATTGCTTTACCTTCATCTATAACTGCTGCTGTAGCGAAAAAATGTCCCCTTGCGGAATTAATAAAGTAACTATCTATCTCTCTCTCTCTCTCTCTCTCCATCATCTATCTATCTATCCATCCATCCATCTCTCCATCCATCAATGATGAAAATGTGGAATAAAAGCTTTGTTACAGTAACCAAACTAAATTATTTGTAGTAGAATTGTTTCGTTCAGCTCAAAAATGGCGAGATACTTTGCCTCGTAACAATTCACAAATTTCCCTTTTTGTTTTTTTTTGCTCAGGTTTACATTTGTTTGTGATGTTGACGAGTTAGACTTTGCATCAAACAGTCAAACAACTACAATTTGCTTCACTGAATAAATAAATTCCAAATTTAAATTTAAAATATACTTAATTTATTCATAAAGAAGCAAATACGCAACTAAGTCTGAAACAACAGATCAAATAGTATAAATCCTACATAAACAAACAAGAAAAAACACAAAGAAACAGAAACATTAACATAATGACAAGTCCTGAAACAACAAGATTTTTACCGTTCATCTGAATAATAATAACAATAATTATTATTATCTTCAAAACTCTTCATCTGATCCACTCACTTCATGGCTCTGCTCAGAGATCAGCTTCATCCTCCTTCAGCTCCTCCAGTACAGACAAACTGGGAACCAGTGCCCCCCCCCCACACACACACACTCCTCGTGACCTCCAGAAGCTCGAGCTAACAGCGAAGTTCAGCGGGGGTGAAGAATGTGTCCGCCCCCCCCGACAAGGCGTGACACGCTTAGATCGCCAGCTGATGACTTAGCCTGAAGCTTAAAGTGTGTGTGTGTGTGTGCGCGTGCGTGCATGCGTGCGTGTGTGTGTGTGTGAGAACAGAGGAACCACCTCAGCAGCAGCAAAAGAAAACATCCAACAGTGTTTGATTTAGGTCAAACATCCAAACAATGTCTCCCGATCAGAGCGGATACAAATAAATAAATTGCACAAATAAAATAAGCAAAAATAAAAAGGCTTCCGATAGACGTAGGAGCCATTAAAAAAGGTACTGCGTGTGGGATTTGGCGCCATCTAGCGGCGGGTTTGCAGATTGCAACCAAAGGAAACTTCTTCTGTGTGTCAGTGTATTTTGCAGCCAAATCAAATTGTTTACAGGATATTCAACCTTTGTTTGTTTATGCTTTGAATTCTTAACTTCTTCGATAAAGTAGTCCATGAATACGCGATGTGAGTTTACAGATGATTACATTTCCTCCTCCTCATTGTGGTTAGTTTATGGCATTTTGCCGATTACACTTGTCTTCACAGAATAATTTATGATTTGAAAGCTGAAACCACCAGAGGTTTCCCAGCCTGAAGGAGAGTTTCCCATCACAGCCTGAACAAACACACCATAACTCTCCAGACACTAAGTTATTATTACATAATAAACAGGAAGCAAAGCTAACCTCTGACCCATATATGACTTTAAAAACAAGCACAGTGCAGCACTTCAACCAAAGAAACCAAAGTCAACTGTTACTTTAATACACAACAAGCTGCAGACACAGCTAACGATGCGATTTCCGGGCATATTTTCAAAATAAAATCGTTATTGACAAACACCTTGAGACATGTTCCAGTGCCATAAAACAGATGTATACGTTAGATATTATAGAAACAGACCCTCCAAAGTGATACACATAAATGACAGTGTTCAGTTTGAAACTTCTTCTCTATTTTAGCCGACAGGGGATTTATTTTGTCAAACCAAACCTCGTTTAAAAACCTGGACCTTTAATGGTTCTTTGTTTGACAGCAGCAGTGAACAAAGAATACAACTCAGAATTATTTTATGACACATTTTAACAAAATTAATTCCTCATTTCTGGTTTTGTGTTTATAAACTGCTCGGTCTCTCCTTTTATTGTGGATTAAAATGTAACGTTAATTCAACATTAAATTCACCTTTTTTTGAATGCAGTCTGGTGTGAAGTGTTCGGTTTCTCGAGGCTTTTTTTGTATGAATTATCTAACTTTAGCTCTTTGAACAGGTGTCAGGTGATATTTAAATAATATGAACTGCTCACCAACCTCCGGACTGAAGATTTAGATATTCGGCTTCATCAGAATGAAGAACCGGAAGTGTTACAATTAGCCTGCTAGCTAACAACAGACAACAACACTCGTTTTAACTCGTAGCCTAGAGCTAGCATATCTAACGTTAGCTCGTTAGCTTGTTAGCATGAGCAGCTGGTACTCCGAGCTAACAGAAGCCGTAGTTAGTAGACATGTTGTACCTGTTATCAGTGAGTCGCATGGCAGTGAAGAAACACCCACAGCCGCCTGTCAGAAGCTGTTCACGGGGATCAGCTGGCTAACCAGCCGCAGTGGTCCGGGTTGCCGGACTTCAGAGAGGAAAACACGTAAAACAAGCTGTGAAAAAAAGGAGTCGCTTTTACTGTGAAAGGTCATTTCCGCCGATGTGATGGAGAGAAAAATAAGATCCTGAGTCTTTATAATGAGAAAATATCAAAATAATGAAGCAAGTATGTCAAAATAATTAATATCTTAAAATAATTAGTATATTAAAATAATTAGTAGCTTAAAATAAGAGAAACCTTCTCAAAATAACTAAGTATTTCAAAATAAAAGCAACGCTCATAATAATTAATGTCTCAAGATAAGAGAAGCTCTTTCAAAATAATAAGAAAATATGGAAATATTCACCAAGTATTTTTAAATAATTAGTATCATAGAATAAAAGCTCTCTCAAAATAAGAGAAGCTATCAAAATAATGAATCACAATATCAAAATATTGAGTTTGAGGTTTTGAGATACTAAGTCATCTTTTGAGAAACTAACTATTGAGACCAATGTTTTTCTTCTTAGTTATACATCATTATTTTGAGGAGGTTTGCTGTTATTTTGAGATACAAACCCATATAAAACTCATGAGATGCTAATTATTATGATACGTCATAATTTCCAAAAGGTTTCTTATTATAACGACTTACAGGATCTTTTTCCTTTTAATGGCGTCTACGGGCTTCCATACTAGTTTTGTAGTGGTGTGTATCATAATAAACTCATTAGAAATCTTTCCAGTCTTACTCATCGGTAGCCTTGTTTGATTGTCACTGTTGTTCTTCTAAAACAAACTGGTCCACACTGCCCCCTACTGACCAGCACGGTGTATTACACTAGAGGGCTGATCATCACGAGATAATCAATTATTTTAAGGATAATTCCAACAGTTTTACTGTAAGTATAACGTCCTTTGTGGCTCTGGAGCTTTGTCAAGTCTGAGAAAGTAGAATTTTATGGAAGTGCTGAAGATTGAAGTGTAGATTCTCAGAGCCCACTTTATTCTTTTACTTCACTACATTTCAGCAGTGCTTGAAGAAGTACTCAAATCTTCCACTGAAGTAAAAATAGTATTACCACAGTGTATTAAAAATATATATATATATATACCAAGTAAAAACATGGCCGATTTATAAGGTGGAGCTGATTTTAACCACTGGATCTATATATTTTTAGCTTAATCTATAATAATACATAAATTATATGTTGAAGTCTATTTTGTAGTTATAATGTAAATATGTAAAGTAACTTAAGTTCATAAACCAAGAAGTGCAGTAAAAAGCACAATATTTCCCGTGAAGTTGAAATTTAAAGTAGCAGAAAATCACAAACTTATAAAATACTTTATTATATATAGTATGTAAAAGTTAAATAATCTCCATCTTGATCCACTGCAACATTAAAATTATACATACTTTAATGCTTCAGTAACAATCATCCAACATAATCAGTATTTTTTACTTTCGATACTTTAAGAACTTTTTGCTGATAATACTAAATGTACTTTTATTTAACATTGTGAATGCAGGATTGTTTCTCACACAGAAGTACTTGTATTTTTTGTATTTTTGCTAGAAAGTACAGCAGAGAAACAAGGACACCTTAAGTGAACAAATAACTTCTTTATTTTATTGTATTTTCAAAGCAACAGTAAGTAACCGATTACAGTAAATTACAAGTAAATCAAACACAGTTGTGTTAAAGCAGTTAAAATAAACACTCTGGATCCATCTGACGTCTGTCTGGTATTTAATCCTTTTAGTCACCAGTTCAGTCTAAAACAAACATCCTCAAAACAAACGTCAGCCTGTCAAACTTCTCTTACAATTGATTACAAAAATATTTCAAGCCCTTAAACTATTTACACTCTTGTACCACCAAATACATTTCAAACAAAGTTACATTTTACTGAAGTTTCCCCTTTAACGTCAAATCTTTTTTTTTCTATTTGAGCCGAGCATTTTAGCCGAAGAGCAACATTTAGGTTGCGAGGTTGAGAAAAAGCCCTTTGATTGGGAATTAAGGGACAGTGTGGAACATTTATAACTACGTAAGGAGTCTTTCACGGAGTCCGCCATGATGCACCGCCATGTTTCTACAGTAGCTCAGAACAGACAAACACTAACCAACGCTAACCAACACTACCGAACATTAACCGACATTAACCGACACTAGCCGACACTAGCCGACACTAACCAACACAAACGAACACTAGCGAACACTAGCGAACACTAACCAACACTAGCGAACACTAACCAACACTAACCAACACTAACCAACACTAACCAACACGAGCTCTGGTCAGTGACGTAGCATTACCTAAAGGTAGCGATGGCTAATATTCTGGTGACGCCTCTTTTAGTTTGTTCCCAATTGATGAACTGGTGAAAAAGGTTATTTATTACAATCTAAATAAATCATTTTAACTTGAAATACTGACTCAAACAGCTGGATCAGATATCAGATAACACAACAATCTGGTATTTTAATACGCAACAATTCAGTCTATTTATACATCTATGTATTTATTTACTGTATTATGATGGTTCCGGTATATAGTATAGTATAATAGTTACATTGTAATTAAAATGAGACCGTACGATCTAAGTGTGGAACATTCCCCTAAACATATGGCGGGTATACGACACTTGATACCGTGTATCTATTAAAGTAAATACTAACAGCTGTCAGGGCATAAAAACAAAGATCCGTTGATCTTTACCAATCAAGACTCCAGAGACCAACAATGAAACAGTTTAAAGCAGAAATCAAAAGAAATCGTGACCGTAGAAGCGAGTCGTGGGTTTGGAGAATCGAGACATTCCGACTGTGCAGACTGTGAATCACCTTCAGGCGTATTTAGGATTTAAATATCGGGCAATGTAAGTTTTGTAAATGTCTTATTCCATCTGAGGACATTAAACGTAAACCTGAATAGTTGAGGTTTAGTGGTTTGTCTTTCATCTTCAGTCGCTCTCACTGCCGCTCTCCGAGTTCACATACCGGTTGTCCTTTCCCGTGTCCTCGACAAAACACGGTCCTGAAAAGTACAGACGTCACTTCAACACAGCTGGACAGCAGACATCAAAGACGACGCATTCTCTTTCAACATCACACACGACATCGTTAAATGTTCAGGTGCTCTGTGTGGTTCTCACCATTCGCGGTTCTGTCTTCGTCCTCTTCAAAGTGCTCCATGTCGTAACTCACGAAGATGTTCTGAGGAAAGAAATGAACTTGAGTTAATGGTGGACTTTAAAATCTATCTCTGCTGGTCTGGAACATAAAGTGAGTCCAGTACCCTGTTCTTCACGAGTCTCTCCCAGCAGCCCTGCTGCTGTTTCACCAGTTTGAGGACCGGCTCATTGGACTTCATCTCCCAGCAGCACCGCTCAGCAGAGATGTGACCGTGGAGCTGGAGGTCGGCTCTGTAGGTCCGACCGTTCACTCTGCAACTGAAGAGAGAGAGAGTGTGTGTGTGTGTGTGTGTGTGTGTGTGTGTGTGAGTGAGAGAGAGAATAGATAACAGCTTCAGTTCAGTCAGAAAGGTCTGTGTGACATCAAGGTAAAGATATTCTAAATACAGTTCACTTGAACTGATGTAGATTCTTTTCCCCCTATACCTCTGGTACTCATTCAGGGTACCAGAGGTATGAGAAAACACTTTGAACAATAAAAGAAAGTCATTCATCCAGGGTCTGTGTGTGGTGAATTCAGGCTGCTTTGGAGGCTCTGACAGGCGGACAAATTTGCAGCGAGGACCCGCTGTCTCCCCCCTGGTTCTCTGCTGGAATACCAGGGGCACGAAACCAAATTTGATGAGTGGAGAGTGGCGGGGTGTTGTGGAGGTATGTTTTATTTATTTTTTTCCGCTTTTTCGGCCTGCATCAAGCAGAGGCGGTGGTTGAGAGGGGGAATCAGTTAGAGTTCCTGTTGCTGAGCATGCATGTGCTCATTCCTGGCGGCTCCAGGCTGAGTGTTGCGGGGGTATTGTGGCCGACAATTCGGCGTGTTTTTCGGGGCTGTGAGTTGTCATTTCGGGCGGAGATTAGCTGAGTACTTTGGCCGTATTTCGGCCGCGTAATCGGCGTGGTTGCCGGGGTTGTGGAGGTAGCAGGAGGGTTAGGCTAGGTTAGGGTTGTAGGCCGGGCAAGAGTGCACCTCATCGTGTTAGCCAGAGAACAACATGCTGTCAGATAATGCCCAGGAAGAGCTGCATGTGCTGGGATGAGGAGGAAGGGAGGGAGGGAGGGAGCCCCTGGAGCTGGACTAATGTTGAGATATCGGGGACTTCACCACACGTTCATCACTTCTCCCCCTTCTGCCCCAGCTAAGGCTGCTCTGGTTGGGCTTAGTTTCTGAGTAACAGCCAGTCTCTTCCTGGAGCTTCATCCTCCACGCTCTCTCTGTGTCACTTCTCCCCCAGCCCTGGAGCATACTGGATTGAGGTGTGGGACTAGTGGGACTCTGCGAGAGGCTTGTATGGGGCTGTGGGGGACCCTGGAAGAAGTCCGCTATGACAGCGGTCCTTTGCGGTTGTATGTTTTTCCAATTTTGGAGACGATTTGACAGGTGTGCAGAGTGCGTTATGGGCCGAATGACAGCGGCCCTTTGCGGATGTGTGTTCATCCGATGTGTGACAGAGGGTCTATGGAACTATGTGGTGTCCTTGATAACTACGATCTGACTCAGCTTGTGACAGGACCCACCCACTCTAACCCTAACGACGACTTTAGTGGCAAATGTCTTAGCGAGTAGAACTGAACGGACTTTGTGGACAAAGAACCTGAACTAATGTGTGATGCGTCATAAACGAGCGTTTTCATTCACACACAGACGTATTCCTCCGAATGTAGGATGTGGTGTGAAGTGAGCGATCAGTCTGCTCCTCACAGACCTGTAGACGACTCTGTCGGGGTAGAAGTCACAGCGCTGGCTCTCCGGGTTCCTCAGCTTCACCGTCACGATGACGCAGTCGGACGTCTGGTACCAACGGGCCAGAGGGTGGAAACTAAAAAACACATCAACGGTTAACATCTAAAGGAGACATATTGTGCTCATTTCGCTGTGTGAAAGCTCAGAAAAATCAAACCTGCGCTGCCAAAAACTAAATATATTGACGTGCAATAAAAGGTATTTCTCTCCAGTCTCACGTGTGGCAGCAGAGCTCAGCTTCAGCCTTCAGAACTAAATAATAAAACGACCAGGAGAAGTCGTCTGAGGCAAATATGGAAGAAATAAATCACTGATCTGCTTCGTGTGTCGACATGAAAAGTGTCCGTACGGTCGGTGACGTCTGTCTGTTCTCTTATAGAGACACAATTCATCAGCAGGTTCTGTGTATTAATGATTCATGTACAGTAAAGAGAGAGAGCTACCGCCGCCTGTGTGTCAGTCAAAAACTCTTAATTATATTACAACACAGATGTAATCATTTCTCACGTGTAGACTCCTCCTTAGCCTCTGTATTATTATAATAGAAATATAAAGTGACGGTTAATAACAGATTATGACTGAATGTTTAACCTAACCGCTGATTTTAATGGAAGTAGTTGAATGTTAATTGTACCTTTTCGTGGAGTCATCACAGTCCTGCTGATCGTCTCCTGGAGGAACACCTGAGCACAGCGACACGGTCCAGATTATCAACCACAACGTTAGACTCCGGTTCAGAAACCAGATTCTGTTTTAACTTTAAATGTGGAAGCAGAAACAATTCTCTCTCTCTCTCTCCCCCCCACCTCCGGGTTTGAGATGAGCAGCCGGTCTGGTCTTTGGGAGAAGTTCTCCTCCGTCTCCGATCCTGAGAGTCACAAATAAAAACGGCTTCGGTTCAGTTCTACATGTGGACCAAAACCATGTGAATCCACTGAGGGACTTCCAGCTGAAGGTCCTGATACCTTCAACATCTGTGACTGTGAGCGTGAGAATTGTGTGACTAAACAATTTAATTTTTAACAGGAGAGACGAGCGAGAGAGACCGAGTAGTCAGAAGATTAGTGTTACGTGAGTCAGAGAAGTTATTTCATAAAAAGAGGAAAGTGGACAACGAGACCAGAGACTTCAACCAATAATAAACAGACTCTTAAATGTTCATTCCTCCTACGGGCAGTTTAAAACCGGTGTGTCTCATGTATTCCGAGACCGTGACGATTAATAAAAGTGTTAATGTGAAGCGTCACTATGAGACAAAGAACTCTTTAGATCAAACGTACCGACTCAATACGATCAGAATCCTAACATTAATTCACTCTCCAACTAAGCTGTGAACAGAGAGGATAGAGCTGAAACAAGAGGTTTAATAAACACAGATAAAGTCTCTAAACACTCATTTATCTTTTTAGAAGATGAGAATATTATATTCCAGCTTTTTTGAGTGACATCACTTCACACCTGCATGAACTGAATTTAAAGCTGCAGGTCAGTTCAGCACTTTAAGATGCACATTTTTAAAAGCTTTCTGTTATGTAATTTATTCTTTAACACAGTTCTTATGTTACTTGAAACAAGAGAACATTTATATTATTTATGTATTATTTATAATTCATCCAGTTCAGTTTGAATTCTGATAATAAATATTGTTGAGATATTATTCAATTTGAACTTCCTTTATTTGATTTGACAGTCAGTCGTTGACATACAGACGTTAATACAACTGTTGGCTAATTAAAGATATATGGAACTAAATCATAGTTAAACAATATTTTAATGTTCCGGACCTTTGCATGAAGACATTCTCTCGTTGAACTGTAATTGAATCCTCTGCTCTACGTCATCGGCTAGATTTACAACACAGGACGACTGTAACAACGGCATTAAGAAGAGAAAATTAAACATTAAATAGGATGAAAGCGAAGACTCATGCAGGTTAAACGATTGTTGGAACATGTGATCCTAAATATCTGAAGCCTAAATAATGACCAACTTATTTCTTTCAGTATGAAGACACTGACTTCAGATCGGCTTTGTGGGCGTCTCTCTGTCCGACAGCAGCCCGGCAGTCCAGCAGGGGTTTCTGATCACACACTGGAACCGGGTGGAGTTCAGGTCCTGGCGGCGCCGGGACCGGAGACCGGATCGTCGGAGACACCGGACTCAGCGGCTCGAGGAGAGGAAGGTCAGCGTGCCGACCGACCTCGGCCGCTCTGACGGTTTCGGCCAGAACCTCCACCTCGGCTTTGATCCGGACCTCCAGAGACGCCGGCCCATCCCCCGACCTACGAACAACAGAGTAGCTCTTCATTGGTCTTGGTGTCCGACATGTTGCGTACCCACCGCTCCAGTGTTTCCTTACTCAGAGATGTGAGCCGCCTCCTCGTCCTCCTGGCAGAGCGCCCTCAGCAGGTCCAGATGCTCCTGGTTGCTGGTTCCCATCCCAGTGTTCAGGATCTCTGACTGCACGCTGTACTCATTGATCACAGTCTTCATACCTGGAACCTGGGTCACACGCACCTGGGGGAAGAAATGCATTATTTTGTGAAGCCAACTGCACCAAAACAGTCCAGTCCGACATACTTCATATGTATACTGTACATCCCATATTTAACACACTGACTGAGGCAGGTTATAAACTCACCATGGGATCAACAAAGACCGTGTTTCCCAGACTGAACACCGCTCTGGCTCGGTGCTGCAGGCCTCGGATCTTCTGGTTGATCGCTCTGGTGACCTGAAAGCCAAAACAAGAGTCCCATCAATCACACGAGCACCACGCCACTGCTTGTTGTTCACAGGACGGATGTTTCTGCTCAAGGGCACAACGTGCAGGACCGCAGGAGCCACACAAGTGAGCAGTGACTCCTGCAGATTTAATGCTGGCTGTCTGTGAGTTTGCAGTGTTTTTAGGATGTTTACTAATCTGAATAGTCATGAGGTCGCCGTTAGTGGGCTTTAAAGACACCCTGAGAGCTCTTAGTAGATAAATAAGAGGTAAAAACTCAGAAATAGTGGCGATGTGTTGGAGAGCAGGAGAACCTTGGGGTGCCAGTCGGCCTCGGCGTCGATGGGTTTGACCCGGCAGACGACGATCTCCACGGCCTGGCCGGGCAGAGAGTGGAACCGCTCCGGGAGCTGGAGGATCTGATGGGATTTCACCTCCTCCTCCTTTCCCACGTCAATAAAGAGAACCAAGACGCTGAAGAACAGCCGGTCGCCTCTGTCTGGGACGGACAGGACCTTCACCCTGCAGGGGAGCACACAGTGGTATTATATATTAATCAGACATATTACACAAAATAAACCACTAAAGGCTAAATAAAGGTTAATTAAAGGCTAGATAAAATAAAGGGTGGACAGCACAAAGTCATGGAGCAGCAGCAGCTAGGATGATGGAGGAAGCTTTGCCAGAAATCCTAAAAAGGTTCCTGTGGATGCTCCAGATAAAGAAACATTCAGATGAAGGATGAACGTCCAAAGTTCTGCTATCGAGCTTTAAAAAGAGACTAAACTAAATATAAAACATCCTGAACCAGTTGGTAGCCTGCTGGATACTAACAGAGTTAGATTCTGGTTACTTGGCCTCTCTACTTCACTCACTAAAGAGAACATCATGATTAAAACAAACATTTGGGCTTCACGTGTCTCAAGCCTCTAAAACTCCTCCGGTGGGTTTAGATGTCCAACCTGTGGAAGACCTGGTCCTCCTGCACGGCGTAGAAGCCTCCCTGCAGCACCTCCTCGGCTCCGGGTTTCCTGTCGGCGTAGAAAGCCGTCATCTCAGACGCCACGCTGCAGAAGCCTCCTCCGTCGTCCTTCTGGACGACGCGGCCGTAGAACACCGACGCCGTCTTGATGTAGAGAGGCACCACCTGAGAGCATCATGCAAAAAAACATTTGGTTTGATTTGGTGCAGCAGAGGACGACACTACGGTAGAGACAATAGAGACAAAGAGGTGACGGTCCTCACTTCTATGACTCCTGAGGCAGGAAGCACCGACTGGTCCAGTTTGGGGATGAATCTGTGACGGTCGGGACACACACTGCTGTCTCTGCACAAACACACACATCACATCTAAACCAGTTGTTGGAGCCATAATGTAGTTTTTTTTTTTTAATCTTTGAGGGAAACGAGGTGAATTTACGCATGCAGTTCTGACATTGAACACAAGGGGAGCATTCATGTAACAGTAACAGTGCAGATAGGCGAGTGTGTGTGTGTTTTTGTGTGTGTGTGGACGGGAAGCTCACAGACAGTCGGATCGTCTACATATTCTGCTCAGACTCACCAAACCTCTGCTAGCATTTAGCTTAGCACGTAAACATGACGCACGTGTATTACGTCTGTTGCGTTCAGGGGCAGCGGTTAATAACGGACAGCCCGGTGTCACAGAACTGTTTCAGGCGATCAGAACGTTGAGAACCGAGTTTGAAAAGTTCAGATTATTGAGTTTTCTGCATCGAGTCGTAATCGTTCAAGAGAGAATCGCGATGCATCTACGAATTGATTGTTTCCTCTTCTGTAAAATATAGTTGCAGAAAGAAAGAAACGGTCAGACTTCTAAAAATGTAAAAGTATCGGATGAGAAAATATGAATCGGTGCGTCTCTACATGGCTGAGCTGCAGATTTCTGGTCTTTACAGATTAGAAACTAAGGATTAAAGGTTCAGCTCATTCAACACAAACATCACAATATGAAGCACAGAGTAGAAGCTACCTGCAGACTCCAAAGCTCTTGAGGTAGCTGCAGAGAGGCCTGTTGATCTTCTGGTCCTCCCGGGCCACGTGGACCCCCTGAGCGAAGGCCAGCAGCTCGGGGGGCAGCGGGGCGTTGGTTCTCCTCAGGTAACGCAGAACCCCGACCACGTGACAGGCGTTCCTCTCAGAGATCAGCAGCACCGACCTGGTGGGATGAGGGAGGCTCCTCGTCTGGTCCTCGGTAAACAAATACATAATAATATATAACAACGACAAAGATCACCTTTCAGCTGCAAACGAGGACACTGAATGTGAGTTTCTGTTCTCACTCGCTCAGAGAGGTTTCTGAAGTTCTTTGCCATAAAGGAGAGACGGCCGCCGAACAGTTTGGGTGAAGCGGGGAAGCCGTAGTGGACGACACAAGTGGCGTCTCCGACTCCCAGACACTTCAGACACTCGGTGGTGGTCACTAGAGGCCAAACACAGCGTGAGTCACATGTTCAGTGAATGGATCCGAAAGTCTTTACTGTTGATGTTCTCTGTATTTACTGATCTACGCTGTCGGGTGGAAACCTCGTATGCAATATTTGGAAACATACGAGGTCTCGACATTGTGTGTATATATATATATACACATATATATGTTGAGTTTACCCAGAATGACATGAGTTCCGGGCCCGATGTCTTTCCTCCATTGCTGGATGACGAAGTCAAACTGGTGAGTTAACCCCTCATGGGTCTTGAGGCAGAATGCTGATCTGTTGCTCAAGGCCTGAAGAGTGGAAACGACACTGGTTAGTTCAAGAAGGACAGCACTTTGGTTTCTCTTTCCACTATCGGTGCACTGAAGAGAGGTCATATTTCACTCTCTAATATCTATTTCATGTTGTTGTGAAAAACACAGATTTGTTGTTCCCGATGTTCACGTCTCATGAGGATCCAGTCTGTGCAATCAATGAGATTCTTAAAGTGTTTTGTCGTCAATTATTAAGCAAATAAGTGTCAGTGAAGACGAATCTCCGCTCTCTACTCGGCAGGAGGAGACCTCTCAGCGGAGCTCACTCACACTCTTATAGAGCGCGTGATACAAACAGAACTAAACTATTTGATCAGCCGGCTTGACTTAAATGAGTTGATGGAGAAATCTAAACCTGAAGCCTCAGCATCACCTTGAACACATCTTCAACCTCCTGAGCCGAGTTGGCTACGATCAGAGTCTTCTGGCCGACGTCGGGGTTGAAATCCAACGCACCCAACAGCACTGAGACCTTGCTGCTCTCCAGAGTCATGAGGACGATCTGCAGGAAGACAAAGAGAATCTCAGCACATATCAGAACTTACAACTGAGCTTTAAGTCTGCACTACAACTGAGAACAGCCGCTTCACTGCTCATGTTACATGAACGGGTTTAAAACCCTCCAGTGAACATAAAGCTGTGATTCACTGAGACTGACCTGCTGAACGTTACCATAGAGAGCAGCTTCCTCAGGGACAGTCATGACAATGCACGGGTAGGGCATGTGATTGGCTACCAAACCCTCCATGTGACCGGTCCATCTTTTGGCCACTGCGACGAGCTGCTGAGGACAGGAAGCGTTCTCCTCGCTGGAGGTCACCTTCTGGAAATGCTGCAAAATGGTCGCCATCTAACAGGAGAACGTCCGTCGTTTACAGAAATGCGTAGAAAAGACAAAAGATAAATAAATGTATTCATGAGATAATGTTGAGTGTGAATGAGGAGCAGACGGTCACCTGATCCGGAGCGAGAGTGAAGAGCTGGTCGGCCTCATCCAGCACGAGGTGGTAGAGACGCAGGAACAGGAAGCAGTGGCAGGACAGCAGCCGGACCAGACTGAAGGGAGTGGTCACTAACAGCAGGCCTGGTCACAACACAAAGAAGAGATGTCAGAATGTCTGACTGAATGATTACAACACACAACTGTGCAGCTGAACTGAGGTTCACTGCTTCATGTTGACGGTTTGATGCTTCTTTTAGCTGTATTAGCTTTGTTAGCTGTTGGCTCCGTTACCCAAACACCACAGGACTCTGCTGTCCAATCTGGTTTGGTGATACGATGATACGATACGGCCACCATCCGCACAACAACCAGCGATTACCAATATATTCACGCAGGTGTGTGTGTGTTTGTAGTCTATGACCATAAAAAACATGTTTTCAAACAGTGTGAATCACTGCAACCACGAGAGGTCTTTGAGCAAACAGTCATAAATGAGACCAAAAAAGAATCTCCTGGCGGAGATAATAAATGCATTATGGGGATTTCCATAATAAATTCACAAATGTTGGGTCATCACTAGCAGGGATGACCCAACATTTGGGTCTCACTAGCGGACTGGGATGACTCACAGTTTTTGGGGATCCTGACAGCCTTGGCCTCGTCTTTGCCGGTGCCCAGCAGCAGGATGACGGGGTGGAGGACTGAGGCAACTTTCATCTCCTCCAGAAGGTTATACACCGCCTGGACCTTCTCCCAGCCCGGACACAGCAGCACCACTATGGGCTGGAGGTCACAACAGAAAGCACCACCCTCTTACAACAATAACAACAGCACAGTCAATCAAATGATGGCGCTGCTGGAACAAAAATAAGCCGCTTTAAGATCTGAATCGATGCATTAACAATGTTCTCACCCCCGTACTGGAGGTGAAGATGGAGTTGAGCAGGATGTGGGTGAGGAGCGGGGCGAGGTAGCTTAGAGGCCGGTCGGCGTTGTGGGAGACTATGACGGTGTTGCATCCTCGGGCCACAGCTGGCCAGCTGTACCGGTCAGCTGGAGACAGAGCGCCGTAATGCTTCTTCATCACCTGGAGGCAGAGCGGCCGCCGGGTCAAACTCAGCTCAAGCATGTCAGAGTTTAAACGTGTCATGAGCACATTGTTGTTGTTTACCCGGCGGAGAGCGTCCGTGATGGGGGCGTCATCTAGGCTGCTGCAGGGCTCCACTGGGAGGGCAGAGTGCACCAGAATCCCAGTCCTGGGATCACTGGGAGCAGCCTGAGGACAGTCAGGAGGCCGGAGAACCAAAGACACACGAGACAGTAAATTACTAAATGTGTTGCGGTGCATTCTGGGATCACATGAGGTTGCTGATGACACACTTTTTCATTCTTTTAAATTTTGCCTCAAATCATCGAGAGTTTAGGTCAATTCTTTACATTTTCCAGCAGTTCTATATTGGAGGAGAGTCTCCTCAGCTGAAATAAACACCACCTCCAACAATGGGACTGAAGACCCTTTTCACCCACAGGAGCTGTCCCCAGAGACCAGGACCCTTTTGAGGGACCAGGATCTAAATGACGCTCCAGGGACATTTTATCTTCATCATTACTGTAAGTACAGGAAGTTTCAGGGATGACCGTCAAACACACCACGTTGCTGCTTCAGCTACCTTTTCATTCATAAAACCAGGAAGTGATCTGGTATCGATTTAGGACCATTTCAGGACGAGAGGAGAGCGTTTCACCCCGTAAGAGAACGTTAAAAGAGAAGCTTTTGACTCATTTCACAAAAGACAGACAAGCTACAAGTTTAGATCAGTTTGCTCTGTCGAGTTAATGAATTATTCATCATAAAGAAGTCATACAGCTCATTCTGATGACGACTCACATAAACTTAATAATGATTAAAACCACCAAATAATCAAACACTAAAGTGGTCGGTTTGGGAACCCAGAGGTTTATGTTTAAGCACATTTCTCCTTTTGACTGGAGCTGAAGTTACACCTTAAGAACAAGATCAATTTCCCAGGATTCTACTACATATTATTAATATTCTACTACAGGTAAATACTACGCAGCAGTAAATACTACGCAGCCACACACAGACCTTCAGGCTGCCGAGTGATTAAATCTACGACCACCATCTCTCGTTGCTTTTTCATACGTTAGCGGACTGACTTACTAAATCTACAGACACGATGGAAACGTGGACAACAGTGAGCTGAAGGAACCTTTTAACTCCTTCATAAGCAGCTCCAGGACTAGAAACACCAGGAACTTCGTTCTTGGTGGAAACGCTGCTAAATAATAACTTTAATGGAGAGAAAACTTGTGTGAACAGAAGCTGAGGTGGTGCTTCACAGCAGAAGCCATGAACATAATTCATGTTCTTAGTCCATCATCTACTCAATAGACTGACACAAGCAGCTCAAACAACCTGAAGAGAAAACCTACCGCGTCGTCTGCAGCGTCTGGACCGGGGTTCAGGGGCTCCGGGTTCAACCACTCTAGAAGACTTCAGACACAGTTCAGATCAGAACCCGTGGACAGCATTAGTGTTGAAAGGTGTTTTTACCTCCGGAAGATAAACTAGTAGTTTACAAACCTAAAGACATTTAGCCTCGTTTGCATATAGTTTGTTTATTACTTTTTCTATTTTAACTGAACTAGCTGCTCCCTCAGCTCACCGTGAACAGGCCCAGTCCTCTTCGCTCCTCCACGTCTTCTCTGCGGGTCCCGACTCCACCGATCTACTCGAAATAAAACCAAAGAAGAAGAGCGGAGACGATTGGATCAGAGACGCACTGTGAACGTTTACAGCTGTGACGTAGCGATGCTGTAACAGATGCGAGTTCAATGTACCTCGTTTCTTCATCTGCCCGGCTGCTCTCACAAACACCTGCAGTTCCACTGATTCTGCTGACAAAACACCGGAAACACTGAACATAAAGCAGAGGTTTGGTTCATAAAGTAGAGCAACGGTCCGCTAACTCAGGTGGGATGAAGAAGGTGACGTTCTGATCTCATCAGTGAAAGATTTAACCCTCATTCTGAGAGGATGTATCTCTCTCTGGGAGGTGGACTGATTTAAAAACGACTCTCTGGTTCTCTTGTAATTTAAGAGACGTCTTCGTATTTTGAAACAGATCTCTGGTGTTTTTCTATTTTATTTAATTCTTAATCAGCTACATGTGAAATTTTACTTTTACGGGAAAACAACTAAACTGGAGAACAAGAGCTCGTCCAATAGGCTGCTGTAACATCAGCTGCAAGTACAAACTGGTCCTTTAAACAGACAGGCCTTTCATTAAGAATGCTTTATTATTCGATTCACTCTTTTTATTCTATTTAAGTTGAAAGTTCTATTTTATTGTTATTGTATTTATCACTTATTTTGTTGTATTTAAATATATTGTTTCATTAATCTAGTATTATTTCACACTGTTTTACTACTATTACTGTTATTATAGCTTTTAATTCTATTCTTTTACATTTTTATTTAATTTTTAAGTTGCGAAGCGTCTTTCAAACTATTATTATTCATTTATTTTATTCTATTTATGGATGTTTTGTTTCCATCGATGTCGTTGTAGGAGTGAGTCTCGCAGACTGAATCTTTTCATCTCCTGAGGTTATAACTGATGTGAAGCGTTAGATGACGGAGGAGCACGGTGAATATTTCACTGTGATCCTCATCGTGTCTGAATGGGCCTTTAGTCGGTGAACTGAGCAGTTGAAGGTGTTGTTGGCAGCGTACACTTCCTGTCCTGAGCAGCTGCTGGAGGCTGCAGTCGTCTCTTCAGGTCCACCGTCTTGTAGCGCTTCATGCTGGAAAAAAAAAAAAAAAAAAAACACACAAAAAACAAGCTTTTGGATCCAGATTCATTGTTCAGGAATTACTGACCAAACAAGCAGCACGTTAGTCTGAACTCCAGGAGTCTAGAGCCCTGTTGGCATCACTCACAGCCCAAAGATTATGTGGTCGAAACACTTCCTGTATGTACTCACAGTGGGAGCCGCCTGCTGGTAGCTGCTGCCAGGATTCAGAAACTTCAGGACCCTGTTAGGGGACCAGAGACGTGCTGTTGGTCTCAGCCAATCACAAGAGACCATGTGACCGAGGTGATTCTCACCTGAACACACTGAGGTCGTTGGTCAGAGCTGCGGCCAGAGACGAGTCTGTTTCCTCCGATGAGTCACTGAACATGAGAGCAGAGTTAAGAGGGGACACTTCAGGTGAACAATAATGTGTATAAATGAGTGTGTGAGTGATGAGTGAACAAACACCTCTGTGTGAACCTTCAGCACACAGAGAGGAATGAACGAGTGAAGTTTGGTGAATGTAAGAGCTGCTGAAGTGGAGATTTATCATCAGAGTCTGAGAACAAACTCATTTAGAGGAAACGTCCTTTAAAGAGACGTTTAGTTCCATTACAGACATTTAGAGACTCTACAGGTGAACACATGAACTCATAGATATCACCATGAAACTTCACCACTTCATCACTC